AAAAATTGCTGATGTTCAATAAATAAACATTACTATATTTTTGCTCACTGAAGTGAACGGTGTGCATTTTATTTTTTGTCCTGATTTGGATGGAAGGATTAATTGGGAGGTTTCTGAGTGCTAACTAAAACGAAAATCCCTACAGCAATTCTTAAAGGGATATATTTCTGCGCCCCCACGAAAATCTCATTGTTTCAAAATAGTAAGACGACAAATCATAGATTTTAAAAGAATATATGTTGGGGATCCTTTCACTACTGCCTGTCAAATATGCTATATTTCATCTCATTGAATCCCCAGGAAATTTGACAGGACATTTCCTTTCATTCTGCTAAAAAAAAAAAAAAAGAACATAATCATTTGTATTTTTTCCTTGTTGGAGTACAATAGGACAACTGAGTATTTAATTGTATATCTGAGAATCAAGTTTAATCCATCTACCTCATAATTGACCCAGTCATTTCCATAACCATCAGTTCCATATTTAATTTCTTTAAAAATTCAGAAAGGATCTTTATACTTATGTGAACAATGATAGGAATTTTTCTACCTCCTCCACATACCTTGCGATCATACGGACAGCTAATGTTTGAACTTCCTTCAGAATTGTTGGAAGGAAAATCCATCTGGTTCAGTTCCAAGCCAGGAGAAAAGGCACTGGAAATAAAATGGAAGCTGGAAGCTGATTGGAAAGAAAGGTTCCATTTATTGATGAAGCAGAACCACCAACCACATGTAAGGTGACCAACTTTTTTACAATGAGAAGGAGGACACGTGTGTGTGTGTGTGCCATGTCTGTTTCGGTAAGAAGTAAACAAAGCCACTTGCGCGCAATGCACTCTCTCAAAACAATTCTCGCATGCATCTCATAATTGTGTCTCGTCACACTGTACCAAGCCTTGACAAATCGCCATGTCAAATACAAATACGTCACATCACATGCAACGGATCGGATCGGCATCGATCGAATATGGAGAGTTACAGATTAGTCTTCATATATCGAAAAGGAGGACATGTAGGAGGACACTTTTCAAGAGAGACAGAACTTACAAAAGGAGGACTGTCCTCCCTAAAGAAGGACGATTGGTCACCTTAACCACATGTAATTCTGGGCAGCTGACAAAATGGAGTTGAGAGTGGGTGGGTTTCTATATACCTTCTTTGGGCTTTGTATTTGAGTTTCCTGCATTTCTAAAAGCTGGCCTCCTCAGTTTCTGCTTGGAGCAGGGAAATTGGGGTTGGTTTCTGCCTCCCTTAAGATTTTTTCCCCATTTCTTCTTTAGGGAAATATTCTATCCTGCCTTTTTTTTTATTATTCCCCAAAATATTTCATTCTTCTGGGGTGGAGGGGCTTCCCACAGAATAAAACCTTACTTCTATAACTCTTACCTTTATAACTGACTGGTTTGGTTCTGCAACCCAACAAGACAGACACAGACTTCAGAGGATAATTAGAATTGCAGAAAAAACAATTGCTACCAACCTGCCTTCCATTGAGGACCTATATACTGCACGAGTGAAAAAGAGGGCTGTGAAAATATTTACAGACTGCTCACATCCTGGACATAAATTGTTTCAACTTCTACCCTCAAGTACTGCACACCAGAACAACTAGACACAAGAACAGTTTTTCCCCAATGCCATCACTCTGCTAAACAAATAATTCCTTCAACACCGTCAAACTATTTACTAAGTCTGCACTACTATTAATCTTCTCTTCGTTCCTATTACCCATCTCCTCCCATTTATGACTGTATGACTGTAATCTTGTTGCTTGTATCCTTACGATTTATATTGACTGTTTCCTAATAGGATCTGATTGCTTATTTGTACCCTATGGCTATCATTAAATGTTGTGCCTTATGATTCTTGATAAATGTATCTTGTCTTTTTATGTACACTGAGAGTGTATGCCCCAAAGACAAATTCCATGTGTGTCCAATCACACTTGGCCAATAAAGAATTCTATTCTATTCTATTCTCACAGCCCCCCCCCCAAAAAAAATATTAAATTTGGCTCGACTAATAAGATTTCTATTTCTGTGATAAAAATCCTTCCAGCCCCTGGAATCAAATTAAAAAAATAGTTAAAACAATAAAAAACTGACCTAATGATTTTGTTCTTACTCCTCAACATTACAAAGCTTTATAGGCATTTTGATTTCACGTTATTACTCAGATCATCAACAAAGCCTAATCTAAATTCTACAGTGACAGGTGGTAGCAAGTGATACTATTAATGAAAATGAGAATTGTAGCATCTTTCTTGCAAGCAAAAGCAAGCGCTCATCATATCAACACAATCATGCTTAGCAGCTTGTTAAATGGATTTCCTCACACAGGTTGAACTTCTTCTGCTACCTGGAACCTTGTCGGCTTCGAACAAAAACCACTTTGAAGTCACCTTTTGGATCACGACCTCAGAACCGGTGGAGCAAAAGAAATCTGCCTGGATTTGTCTTGCATCAGATTCTCCATTCTCTGGTGAGGAGTTTTTAGAACCAAAATAAGAAATGAACGCATGATAAGAATGGTGGAACAGCCAAAAGGGCATTAGTCTAGTTTTACAATAACAAGTGCAAACTCTGCCACTTCTAAATACTTTTTAAGTTCAATTTCTGTCAGCAGTACAAGCCTATGCCAAAATATCTTCCTTTGAAATCGTTATTATTATGGCTCATCACAGAGTCAGTCAAATGTTCAGACTAGTTTTGGCTTTGTTGTCCACCTCGAGTCCTTCCTAAAAACCTGAGTAGACAAATGTTGATGTTTGATTGTGTTAGATTTGATGTTTGGTTGTGTTTGATTGTGTCATGTTGCAGGATGTAAGCTGTTCTGAATACAGCTACCTTTTGCAATTGACTGATGGTGAATTTGTCAATGCTGATGGTAGTGCTTTAGTTGTTTTGGGAATGCACCCAAGGCATCTATTACAGAGGTGGTATTCAGCAGGTTCTGACCAGTTCTGGAGAACCGGTAGTGGAAATTTTGAGTAGTTCGGAGAACCAGTAAATGCCACCTCTGACTGGCCCCACCCCCATCTATTCTCTGCCTCCCGAGTCCCATCTGATCAGTAGGAAATGGGAATTTTGCAGTAACCTTCCCCTGCCATGCCCACCAAGCCATGCCCACCAAGCCACGCCCACAGAACCGGTAGTAAAAAAAATTGAATCCTACCACTGGTCTATTACTATTGGTACTATCTTTTCCCCCAGTTGTTCTGTTTCTATTTGCATGTCTTTGTATTGTGTTATCTTCTCCGGTTCCTTCTCTTCTCTTCTGCTGTCTCCAGGTTCTGCCACGTCCACTATCCAGACTTTTTTTTGTCTTTCTTATTGACAATTGTTAAGTCTGGATCTTGTGTGGCAGGTGCCTGTCTCTTTTAATTCTAAATCCCTTTAGCTTCTTCATTTTCTATTACTTTCTCTGCTATTATTATTGTTCAATGCACAGTGAGTCAGATGTTCAGACTGGAGTATTATTATTAACTATCAAATTTATTTTCCTCCCATTTTTCAACGCAGGCAAATCAGAGTGGATATGATTTAACACTGCTTACCATTGGCTGAATGGGGTAGAATATTTTAATCCAAATTAGAATAATCTTAAATAGTGTTTCCCCCATTGGCAAGTGAAATGGTGCACAAGAATATTTAAAGGAGCTACAAAAAATCTAAAGATTCCAAATATGCTTTCCCAGAAGGCAACTGGACTTTCTTGATTTTTTTTTTCTTTGAAAACATTTCACTTCTTCTCATCCAAGAAGCTTCTTCAAATCAGAACTTCTTGGAGGGGAAGCACAATGTTTTCAAAGAGAAAAACCCAAGAAAGTCCAATTGCCTTTTGGAAAAGCATCTTTGAGAACTAAAGGACAAATATTCAGTCATTTTAAAATGTCCGTTTCAGGCATTCTTGGTACTCAGAACAAGATATATTTATCTTCTTTGACTAAGCACAACAGACAATATAATGCAAACTAATGTTCCTCATGCCAAAACAGTTCTCATCTATCTACGGTATATCACAGAAGTGAGTACGCCCCCTCAGATAAAGAAGTTGAGGGTAAAGGTGATGGACTGGCCAAGCATGTCTCCAGACCTAAACCCTATTGAGCATCTGTGGGGCATCCTGAAACAGAAGATGGAGGTACACGAGGTCTCTAACATCCACCAGCTCTGTGACGTCATCACGGAGGAGTGGAAGAGGATTCCAGTGGCAACCTGTGAAGCTCTGGTGAACTCTACACCCAAGAGGGTTAAGGCAGTGCTGGAAAATAATGGCGGCCACACAAAATATTAACACTTTGGGCCCCATTTGGACATTATCACTTAGGGGTGTACTCACTTTTGTTACCAGCAGTTTAGACATTAATGGCTGTGTGTTGCGTTATTTTGAGGGAACAGCACATTTACACTGTTATACAAGCTATATACTCACTACTTTACATTGTAGCCAAGTGTCATTTCTTCAGTGTTGTCACTCATATTTACAAAATGTGAGGGGATGTACTCCAGTGGTGGATTTCAAATTTTTTTACTACCGGTTCTGTGGGTGTGGCTTGGTGGGCATGGCATGGCTTGGTGGGAGTGGCTTGTTGGGCATGGCAGGGGAAGGATACTGTAAAATCTCCATTCCCACCCCAATCCAATCCAGGGGAAGGTTACTGCAAAATCCCCCTTTCCTCCCGGTCAGCTGGGACTTGGGAGGCAGAGAATAGATGGGGGTGGGGCCAGTCAGAATTTTTACTACCGGTTCTCCAAACTACTCAAAATTTCCGCTACCAGTTCTCCAGAACTGGTCAGAACCTGCTGAAACCTACCTCTGGTGTACTCCCTTCTGTGATATACTGTATATGCAGATCATGGCAGATGTAGGTTCTTCTTAAAAGAAATTGAAGTAGAGTGATGGGGCAGATTTTGTCTCATAAAACTGTAGTTGAAACTGAATGAGATAAATTAAGACTCATCCAGTTACCACTTTCTTCCAAAACCTGTAGGTCTGAACAGGCCAATGTTCACTCTGTTTCTTCAATCAATTCTTCGGGACAAATTGATCTGCCTCCACTGAATAGCTTCGGAGTACATTCCCTAACTATTAAGCCAATAGTGAAATAAGTATTTACGAAGAGATTCTAAGTGAAGAAACTTATATAACAAAAGCAGCAAATGCTACATCTTTCGAGCAGAAGAAGAAAGAAATCTTTCTGAATGGAAATCTACAGCTTGTTTTGTGATTTCCCCAGCTCAGTTACCAGAATGAACAGATTTATTCACACAATGTAAGTGAATGTGAATTATTTATTTGGAGCGCAGAGTTTGCATTTTTTTTTTTTTTTGTAATACACTTTTTGGATTGCTGTGTGCAAAATACACACAAGCTCAATCGTTACTTTGAAGAGAACTTGGAATACATCTAATCTAAAGCAACATCTCAAATAACTTTTGATATTAAGTTAGATTGAAATCAGCCTTGTGTTATCTTAAGGAAATGTGCAATCCAAAAGAAGTTATGGAAATGCTTTATCTCATAAGAAAACTGCATAAGGAATAGACACACAGGCCTCTATTTCCATCAGTATGCTGACCTTATATCATGATCCTAATACATATTCAGGATATTTAGCTAGACAGGTTTGTATATTGCCTGTTCTTCTACAAGAGTGGATTATGTGGACTATTTTTTAATGGTGCTCACCATTTCTCTCATTTATTAACAACATAGCAATAGTTCAAGAATGTTTCTCCGCTTGTTGGAAGAGCTATCCTATGACTGCAATGGAAGGAGAGGAAAGGACCTGTGGCAGAAGATTGTCATATCCTTTTAATCTTCAAGAGCCTGCATGCTAAGAACAGAGGTGGGTTTCAGCAGGTTCTGACCAGTTCTGGAGAACCGGTAGCAGAAATTTTGAGTAGTTCGGAGAACTGATAGTAAAAATTCTGACTGGCCCCATCCCGATCTATTCCCTGCCTCCCAAGCCCCGGTTGATCAGGAGGAAATGGGGATTTTGCAGTATCCTTCCCCTGCCACGCCCACCAAGCCACGTCTACCAAGCCATGCCACGTCCACCAAGCCACACCCACAGAACCAGTAGTAAAAAATTTTGAAGCCCACCACTGGCTAAGAACAATCAAAAACCTTTTTTTAAAAAAATTGATTTATATGCCGCCCTTCTCCGGAGACTCAAGGCAGCTTACAGTGCGTTAAGCAATAGCCTTCATACTTATATATATTTATACAAAGTCAGCTTATTGCCCCCACAAACTGGGTCCTCAATTTACCTACCTTAGAAAGGATGGAAGGCTAAGTCAACCTTGAGCCTGATGAGATTTGATCTTACTTTAATTGCAGACAGCTGGTGTTAAATTACAGTGCTTCTGTCTGTTGAGCTAAACCAAGGACAAAAACTTGTCCTTGTCCTCATCCCCATCCCCATCCCCCCCTCCTCCTCCTCCTCTTCCTTGTAACAGAGTAACAATGTTGGAAGGGACCTTGGAGGTCATCCAGTCCAACCCCCTGCTCAAGCAAGAAACCCTATACCATTTCAGACACATGGTTGTCCAATCTCTTCTTAAAAACTTCCAATGTTGGATCCTCCTCCCCCTCCTCCCTCTCCTCCTCCTCTTTGGTGATGGAAGATTTAAAGGTTACAGATAGATGGGGAAGTTTTGTGCAGGTTTAAGGCATGTAATTGAAATCTATAAAATACAAAAGGGAGGAAATTCACATGGCAAAAAATTGGTTTTGCACCCAAATGTCAATGTAGCGGTTGCACTAAGGACAATACAGTCCATAACCCATGAGTTCCAGATTGCCCATTTGTGTAGCAAGTAATGGTAGTCATTTCTATACATTCTATTTCTCTTCTCTTCTACTATAAAAAAAACCCTCCCTTTTTACAACCCTATAAACTCTTCATTTGGGATAGAATCAGGATGACTAAATGCAGCTGAGCATTTGCTGGACAGATGCCCTTCCTGCTGTCACAAAGAGTTCACAGCAGATATTTTTTTCTTTGTGCTCTAGCAAAGAAACATCTAGGATTGAACTCTCAATCTCCCAAGTAGGAAGCAAGTGTCTACACTATTTGAAATAATGATTTCCCCCCCTCCTAATATAGAAGAAGATATGTTCTCTGCTACTAGGTGGGGGGGCAGGAATCACTATTTCAAATGCACCATGCCAATTTTAGAAATATTAGGAAAGTGGGATTATGACCCCACATCTTTTCCAGGCTGCCTTGACATAGTCCTAAATTTTCTCTGTCCTCCCAGAGCTGCTGAGATACTAAAATCTGCAGTAGTAAAATTTTCTGCTGCGTTCCAGGGGTTCAGCAGCTTTTCTTACCATCCCTGGCTGATTTTTCATTTAACAATAAATGTTCCTTTCCATCCCCTTGCCTTCTTTTACAGATTGTGAAATTTAATAAAACATAAAACAGTCCTTTCTGGGGGGAAAAAATGCTGACATCCATGTTTTTACATCAAGATCACTTACAGTTGCAATCCTGGCCATTGGTCAACAACGAGCATGAATATATATACATATATTTACGGAGAAAGTTTGAATTTGGATTCTGAGCATCTCCAGTTAAATGGGTGCCATCTTTCGTTTCATCACAAAAGAACTAGAAATACATGTTTTATTGGTGTCCTTCTCCCTCTCTTTATTTTAAACTGTCTTCCTGTACGGAAAGAATGCCTTGCTTTGTGCTTATCCAAATGAAACAGCGTAGAGTACTGTTACACTCATGGCAATGTACACTTTTTATAGTGTGTGCCCTTCTCAAAACACTGTTGTTCTCTTGAAAGATAATTACCTGGCGAGGAAATCATAGTTGAAAAACTCAGATGGGCTTCGAAGGCTGTTCTTTTACCTTAACAAAGTTTACAATCCTTCTCCAAGCTTTGTGGAGTTGAGTGACCCATAGCATGGTCTGCCAATGGCAAGGTGTGATATAATAACTCCTCATCCTATTAGCTGGGTAGACATTTTCTATTGCTGTGGTGATATTTTTTGTGGATCGTTGATATGTTGCTAAGTTGTAGCTGGGAATATGGGCTGACTGGAAAGTTAATCTGAAAGTGTAATGTTGGATTTGATGATGATCTAATTCCTCTCCTCTCCACTCCTCCTCTCCCCCACCTCTCCACTCTTCTCCTCTCCCACTCTTCTCCACTTCTCTCCTCTCCTTTGCCCCTCCACTCCACTCCTCTCTTCTCCTCTGCCCCTCCACTCCACTCCTCTCTTCTCCTCTGCCCCTCTCTCCACTTCTCTCCTCTCCTTTGCCCCTCCTCTCCTCTCCTCTCCCCCTCCTCTCCACTTCTCTCCTCTCCTCTGCCCCTCTGCCCCTCTGCCCCTCTTCTCCACTTCTCTCCTCTCCTTCTCATTGTTGTCAGCTTTATTAGATAGATCAGACAAGAAACACAACCAAATAAAGTACTTCTATTTTATTGTAAAGTTGCATTAACAGAATCTTGCATGTCCAAAAGTATAATTCTCCCATCATCACCTTTACAGCCCAATAACTTAGGGTCCATCTTGAGCCTCTTGCTCCACCCACTATGCAGCTGCAGGCTGTGCTCCCTCTTATATGACTGTTCCCTAGGCAGCATCTCTTCCTCCGGTCTCCCAAGGTCGTTTCCACATACCATTACAATGTTAGACAACAGACTCAACTCTGCACTGTGCCTTTTTTTTTTAATAACATTTTATTTCTGGTTTATTATTTCACCCACTCATATGACCATCTATTTGCCATGAGACTCTGGAAACTAAAAGAGGACGGAAACATCAAAGTATAACGAAGATCAATAAAGCACATTGTGCCAGAAACAACTCACACCTACTCAATGAAATGTACTCACAAAACACCCTGGCTCAGTTGGAGGAAGAACCAAGACTTCAAGATCTTCATGAAGTAGAGTTTTGTAGAAAGCATGCTGTTCCTTTGCCAACAGTGTTTTTTTTTTTAATTTGATTTATATGCCGCCCTTCTCTGGAGACTCAGGGCAGCTTACAATGCGTTAAGCAATAGCCTTCATACTTTTGTATATTTATACAAAGTCAGCTTATTGCCCCCACAAACTGGGTCCTCATTTAACCTACCTTAGAAAGGATAGAAGGCTGAGTCAACCTTGAGCCTGGTAAGATTCGAACCTGCAGAAATTGCAGGCAGCTGTGTTAATTACAGGGTGCATTAAACCACTGTACTACCAAGGCTCTTGTGAAATATGCTTCAACTTTCATCCAGTTCATTTCTCTCTATTGTAGTCTTTGATGACAACCATTCATTTAGTGACTGTTCAAAGTTACAGCAGCATTGAAAAAAGAGATTTCAGCATCCCCACCATCACTAATTCAGATGCCTGGCAACCGACATGTACTTTTGACAGTTGAAGTGTCCCAGGGTCCTGTGATCACCTTTTGCAACCTTCTGATATGCAAAGTCAATGGGGAAGTCAGATCCGCTTAACAACCGTGTTACTAACTTAACAACTTCAATGATTCACTTAACAACTGTGTCAAGAAAGGTCGTAAAATGGGGGGCAAAAGTCATTTAACAACTGTCATGCTTGGCAACAGAAATTATGAGCTCAGTGGTGGTCGTAAGCTAAGGACTACCTGTGTGTCATGATGCTTTCCTCAACGTGATATCTCCCCAGAGATGTTGTGATGAACTTCTAGAATTCGCAGCCTAGATGATCGACAGGGTTTGAAGCTGAGACCCAATGTACCTGATGGACAATGGGTTTCAGATGATTGGCATATAGTAAAAACTCATTAAAGATCATTTGGAGGTAAGAAGTGATGTTCTGTGTGCAAATTAAACTAAATTAAACTAAACAGCAGCTTCCTGATATGATGAAAATGAAACTGAAGAGTATCTACAACATTAGAATAAGAAACAACTCCTTTAACTTTTTCTCTCGGGGGACTACTAAGAACAATTTAGTTGGCCCAATCTTCAACTAAATGCAAAATGCATTAAACATGAAGAAAGAAGGCCCCAGATGGAAAGACTTCTGTTCATTTGGCCCTTTAATCTCCTTATGCTGTAATTTTAAGGAAAGAAAAGCCATTAAGGTTGTTTAGCAATCAGTCAGTCACACGTCTTCATAGCAAAAGATCAAGCTTTCGTGACAAGAAAACTAAAATTCCTAAGAGGAACCCTTCTTCAGCTCCCACTTCTCTCTTGCTCTAGATTGAAACACTTCTGAATTTTTCAGGCAATATGGTTTCTCAGTTGTTGGTCCTTTCGTTGGGAAGTTATGGACATTCCTGAGTTCAGTATTTAGGTATGTTGATTCTGGGCCAAAAATGAGACATCTAGGCTAATTTACATCAATCTTGGTAGGAGCTAATTTATATCAACCTTGGTTCTGAACAGAAGGGCACATTACAAAACAGGACTGGAACATCTGGGGAGTGGGCCCCAAAGGTGCTTTTTCAAAAGGCAATTGGACTTTGTCTTTCCTTGAAGATGTTTCGCTTCTCACCCAAGAAGCTTCTTCAGTTCTTCAGTAGAGTTAGATCTGAAGAAGCTTCTTGGATGAGAAGTGAAATGTCTTCAAGAAAAAAAACCAAAGTCAGGTTGCCTTTTGAAAATGCACCTTTGGGACAACCATGACCTGGATGACTGAGCATCTCCATAGACATGGGAAGTGAGCTATTTCCTACATTTCTACTTTTCCTGAATGCCTTTCAGACATATCTTATGGTTTAGAGCAATGGTGGGTTGCCCCCGGTTCGGACCGGTTTGCAAGAACCGGTAGTAAAACCAGCGGGAGGCTCCACCCACTGACCTGGATGTCATCAGGAAGCTTCTGCACGTGTGGCCCCATTGCAAATCAGTAG